AGCGCGCCCGAGCGCAAGCTCACGCTCAGCCACATCTACCAGTACGTGGCCGAGAACTTCCCCTTCTACAAGCGCAGCAAGGCGGGCTGGCAGAACTCCATCCGCCACAACCTCAGCCTCAACGACTGCTTCCGCAAGGTGCCCCGCGACGAGGACGACCCCGGTGAGGGAGACGCGGCGGGATGTGATGGGTGGGAGAGGCAACCCGCGTTGGGCGCTCTTGACCCTCTCCTCCGAGGGCAGCGGGGACAGGGAGACCAGGGAGACCAGGGAGGTGAGCCAGGGGGGTTCCTCATGGGGTTCATGGGGCCAGGCGCCGTGGGGCTATGTGTAGGGACAGCCGGTGTCATAGCTGTCCCACTCAACATTGCTTGTGGGCACTGGGCTGCTCTTCGTCCCACTGTCCCATCATCCCGAATGTGGATGCGCCCTGCGCATTGCACGCGCACATTGCTGTTGGTGCTCCCCTCAGGAGGGTCACGTGGGCACCTCCATCTCCTGTGTCATGGCCAGGACAGGTGGCAGTAACATGGGAAGAGCAAGGGGAGCCTCACGGCCAGGTCTCAGGTGCCTTTGGGAGTTTTTGGCTCGGTGGTGGGAGGTTTTCCTCCTCCACGTGGCCTTAGATCCATCAGGATGTGGAGGTTGGTGGTGTCTGAAGCCCGGTTTTGGATTCCTCTCCTGGAGGAGGAAGGGCTGTAGGAGAGGTGTGGGTGCTGCACCGATGCTGGTCAAGGTGCGCTCAAGGGCTTCCCAGTGGGAACAAGCTTGGGACGAGGGACGGATGCTGCTTACCTGCAGCAGGGTTCACCACCGCGGCCATTGACTTTCTCTCTCCTCGTGCCCTTTTTCCACCAGGGAAGGGAAACTACTGGACCTTAGACCCCAACTGCGAGAAGATGTTTGACAACGGGAACTTCCGCCGCAAGCGCAAGCGGCGCTCGGAGCCCAACGCGCCCGCTCCCGCCGGCGGCCTCAAGGCCGAGGAGGAGCGGCCCATGGCCAGCAAGCCGTGCGGGAGCAGCCCGCCGCCCGAGCTGGAGCCGTCGCCCTCGGCCAGGGACCACCCCAAGACCTCCTCTCCCTCCGGCATCATTTCATCGACGCCCAGCTGCCTCAGCACCTTCTTCAGCGGCATGAGCTCCCTGAGCGGCGGGGGCGCCCGCCTCGCCGCGGGGCTCGCCGGGGACCTGCACCACAGGAACTTCTCCGCTGGGCAGCTGAGCAGCGGCACGTTCAGCGCTTCCAGCGCCTCTTCCCAGGAGGTGCCCTCGCCCGAGCAGCTGCAGCGCGTGGCGGGGCCTTCCCCCGCCTACTACAGCTCCTTCCACCCCAGCAGCAGCAGCAGCCAGGGAGCCCAGTTCAACCACTACTACAACTTCACCGTTAACAGCCTCATCTACACCCGGGACGGCACGGAGGTGTAGGGCACGCGGCGGCGGCTCGTGCCGCCAACGGAACGGGAGATGCGGGCGGATCCGGCAGCGCGGAGGAGCGGGGCCTTTCCAACCGGCATTTCAACGGGGACGCTTCCCAGGAGTTCTTCCAGGAAGACAGATCTTCCTCAGCTTTTGTAACGAAAACGCCCCAGGAACACCAGCAGAAGGCAGATGCAAAGTCCCTTTTCCCCGTCCTGGAAAACGTTAGGTGTTTTGCCATCTAAGTTCTGTGGACGAAAAGTGAACTGAATGAGTGATGTCAGAGGTTTTCAATCCTGAATGTAGAATAAGAAGTTTGAAAAAATATAACCGTAAAGTGACAGCAGCAACAGCTGAATGTAGACACCCATGTAGAGGAGAGCAGGAAAATAAAAAATGAAGAGATTTCTTATGAAGTGCCTTGTACAATGTATTAAAAAAAAAGAAAAAAAAAATTCTGCCAGCAATTGCCTCTGTAAGTCCTTGCTTTCTGCCCTGGTCTTGCAATATGCACTGCATGGGTAGACACTGGGTAAACACCCGTCCCAGACCTCCTCGGAGCCTTGTGATCTTCCTGTGCAGGGCATATTGTACAAGCAGGACCACGGTTTGTAAAACAATCCTTTTTTTTTTCCCCCCGAGCTTAGTACCAAAGATACCACTCTAGCCATGCAGCTTTAGCGAGAGAATGAGCACTGGGGTATTTTTATACATATTTGTATGTAATGTAACTCTTCTGTAAATATGTTTCTATGTGGTTTTATATTTGTAAATTATGCTCTGGAGCTGTACTTATTTATAATGTGTTTAAACTTTGGTAAAGTTTATTTTACTTTGTTTCCCTTTCTTTTTTTTGTTGTTGATTTTTGTTTGTTTGTTTGTTTGCTAGTGTATTAATGAAACTCTTCAGGTTGAACAACAACTGTTGGGAATAAAATGTTAACAATTGTTAGATTTTTGCCTGCTTGTTCCTCCGTATATTTGAGGCAATTTGCACCTCTCTGGGAGGCAAGGTTTTGCTCTCATATTTTTGGGGAGAAAAATTGATTTGTGGACAATTTCATCCCTGTGGAAAGGTAGAGAAAAACCTGCACTTGGTCTGAAGGAGAGGCAGGGAGCTGGTTTGCGGCCTTCTGTGGTCTCCCCTTGCAGAGCGGACACCAGAGGCTTTCCTGTTTGGTTGCTTTTGCTGATAGTCTGAATTGCAACCATCCTTTTTTTTGTTTTTATTATTATTTCTTTCTGTTCAGTCAAAATAATAAAAGTTTGCAAAAGTAAAAGCAGCAGGGTCGGCTGCAGCTTGGTGCTAGCTGGCAGAGAGCTCGGAACCTGAGTTTGGCTGCATTGGGATGATCCATTTTGTATTTTTTTAAAATTATTTTTATGTTTTTGCACATGATTGCACCTGCTTAAAATTGCAGGCTCGTCCAGAAGTGGGACCCCATTTGGGGGGCCGTGTTGAAGCATAAACAGATCCCTGAGCAACCTCCCTGGTTCACGCTGCTGTGGGAGGAGGATGCCTCCTGTAACAGCCATTATGCAAAACAATAAACTCCCAATTCTTGCAGTTTGCATAAGCCGCTGGCTGGCTTCTGCGTTTAGCCGTATATAAAAATGTCTTCTAGAGGAATGTAGCACTAATAAGGGAGTTAAGCATGAAATTGCTGCTGTTTAACATACGTGCATCAGACTTAATGCAAGGCCGTCCCTGCAGGCTATCCAGAAAGTGTCTCCTTGGCAGCGCGTTCCAGCACCTCACTGGCTACCTGGTTAACATACCTGGTGGTGATGCAAGACAAACCACCAGCCCGATCCGAAGTATAATGGAGTATGACGAAGTGTCAGATGATTTCCACGTGCTCGGGATCAGGACCAAGTACTTTCCCCAGCGCTGGCCCAACGCGATTTGTGGGCAGGTGGCAACTCTTGAGACCACCTAAGTCCTGTCTTGCTCACCCCTTCCCAGCATGGATCTGATATCCCTGCCTTTTGGGCTCATTTTCCCAGGTCTTCTTGCTTTGCAGGTGGTGCAGCGGTAGTGACAAGGGGAGAGAAAGGAAAGATTGCCGTGAGCAAGAAAGCAAGGCGTTGGGTCTTGCCCTGCTTGGGCTCAATCATGCAAGCCAAATAGCTTGTTTTATTTGGGCTTCGGACTGCCGAGTTTGATCTAAAGGCAGTGCAGGGATTCTCATTGCCTTAAAAAGATTTCCAATAGTCCCTTGGAGAAGTAGAGTGAGGAAATGCTGCTTTGTGCTTCTAAGCGACCATTGCCCACAGTCCCTGCTCCACCTGCCTGCTGTCAAACAACGAGCAGGGGCTACAACGAGTGGGGCTACAGCAGGAAATTTTTGTGTTTCCGTCCAATATTCTTCTGCCCAGGAGACTGGTCGGGGATTTTTGCTGTGCTGCTTCTCTCAGCTATATGCTTTTGCAAAGAGTGCCCATTAAGCGCTTGCTTCTAAGATCCCAAATCTTTAGGATTCCCTGGATTGCAAGTCTGTTCTCAGCAAATATCCCACAGCTTCTCCTCCCACGGCACAGCCAAAACAGGCTGAGCAGGGCAAGAATGATCGCCCACCACAGGGATTTGCCCCCATTCTCTCTCCTGGGGGACCGCTGGCCAGGTCTCCCTGTCCCCACTGCACCTCTCCTGCCCTTAACTCCAAATCCTGCTCCCTCCAGGGAAAGTGAGTGACTCAGCTGGAATTAGGGGCTCCAGCCCCTCCTGGGGACACATCAGTGCAAAGGCCGGAGTGCCCATGCCAAAGCGACCTGCCCAGGGGACACTTGATAGCAGCATTCAGCAAATAGACACCCAGTCTGCAGAGAGGAGCCGAGGGGGGCGGTTAATGGCAGCTTTTTAGGTTTCCTTTTGTCATTTAAAGGGCCTCTTCTTATAGGAACGCCCAAGTCCTAGGAGAGGGAAGGACGAGCACTGCGCTTAATGAAAGGCACTTAAAAGCAGCAGAGCTTTTGTCATGTCCCTGAGCCGCGGGAGGTGGGGGACAAAGGCAATTAGCCCCCTGGTCCCACCCTGAGAGCCCCCCCGGGTCTCTAGATGCCAAGGCCATGCATGGGCCGGCAATTCCCCATGACAATGAGCCGGTCCCCAGCCTGGCCAGGCCGGAGTGGGGGTTTAGAGCAGCCCCCAGGGCAGAGCCTCTTCCCAGGGAAGTCACTGGGGAAGGTCTCTGGGAGAAGCTCAGACTCCAGGCTCCTCTGTCCTCTCTGCTCCGGGAGCTGCAGGAATCACCCCCTAAAATGACTCCTCCTGGCTTTGAGGGAGCAGTGGCCTCTCAAGGAGTAGCTGTCAGTGCCCAAATCCCCCACAGCTGGAAGCTAAGCCCCAGGAAGGCACATCCTCGCGCAC